TAAATTTCACCGAAATCTTTTTATGAGCACTTGACCTTTAAGGGGATGGAGAGGATTGAGTTTCCTGTTAGACACATTTGGAAGGTAAAAGCTTTGCCAAGAGTGGCTTTTTTTTACTATGGTGGTAGCATGGGAATGTATTCTCAATCTAGATAAGTTGATTAAATAACAGAATTCTTGTAGGCGGATGTCATTTGTGCAAGAGTGGCGAAGAAACTTTTAATCACATCCTTTTGTGATGTCGTCTTGCACAAAGGCTCTAGAGTTCGGCTTACGGACTCTTGAGGTTGTCTGTGGGCAAAGTCAGTCAAGAGTGAACTCTATGCTTGGGGTGGGTAACAAGGGGATAAGAGGATAAAGCTTATACCTTTAGCCACCTTTTGGGTCACATGGAAAGAAAGGAACATAAGATCTTTTGAGGGGGGATTGAATTTAATTTTAATAGATTTAGACACTTTCAGACCTTGAGTTATCTGATCAGGTGTCATCTAGTTTGTTCTAGTGATGACTTTGGGAACTTGATAGACATTTTGGTTGATTTGTAAATTTTTTTCACATGCCTTGCACTCCTTTAGTACTCTTGAATGTTTTACTTTTTTACACTCAAAGAAAAAAGATGAGAGAATACGAAGAGAAGCAGAATGAACAGAATAGGTTAGATAGAATAACAACAAGAACCACAAATAGTAAGAAAGATATTAGGGAATAAAACTCTAACGACCAGTACACCTTACATAGGGCAAGTCAAACAAATCATACAAGCAAATCGAACTCAATTCATTTACAGGCACCAACCTCCAATGGAAAAGATCCCTGCATTGTTAATGAGAACATGCAAGGGTCCTAAACGTGCATTCCAGGCTTCAGCAAATCTCGCAACAGAATCCAAGGAGAGAAGGTCAAGTTCCATCACCTTGAGAAGTAAAAATTTGTGTCAGCCATGCCAAAATGAAATTCTAAAAGGAACACTAGAAAATCACTTGCAGGAAATATGAAAATCTGCATTGCCTACGGATTCAAACTCTAACAACTACGATGTTTACCTATGGATGGCCACATTACAAAGCTGGTTAAATAATAAACAGCTTCAAAGACATAATGCCACGCACAGTTGCTCTTATAAATACCTCGATATTAAGAGGAAGGCCCCTTCCAGACCATTCATTCTGCCATTTCTGTATCAACTCATGAGCGGCCTTCGAGTTTCTAACTGCCATAACAACGTGCGCCCCTGCTTCTGCCAATTGCCTATAGAATGAGGAAGAATAAATAAAACCTAAATGTATTATCCAACTTTAGCATGCTAAAAGAAAAGAGAGTAAAACTATACAACAGATTCTATCTAAAACTATACAACAGATTCTATCTGCTAGAAAACGTTAATTTCTTCGGCGAAGAAAACGAAGAAATGAGGACCTGGCAATTTCCCGGCCGATTCCGCTGGTGGATCCGGTGACGATGCAGGTGAGATCATTAACAGGAGGCAAAGGCAGAGGGTTCTGCAAGTGGCTAGCCATTATTCTCTGGAAAAGCATCTCCTGTATCAGACACAACCATCCTCTTCCCCACTCTATCCACCCCAATCCTTCCTTCTTCTTGCTCGACGACGCCGTTTCCCTTCTCATTTCTCCAATTCCGGCGACCAACTCCTGGCAGACCAGAGGGGCGATCGAGTTTGAATCCGCACCCTCTGTTTCGATGGATTAAAAAATTCACGTGAATATATCAGTCCAAAAGGTTCCCATGGTAAAGTTCATGACTCGCCGGCTTCTCTCTTCAAAATAGAAAAATAAAAATAAACGTGGCCATATTTTTATCATTTTCTATTTTAAATAAATAAATTTTATAATTACCTTAAACATAATATTTATTTTTTAAAATTTTCGTTTTAATGATAAACCCATTTTTTTAAAAAAATAATTATTATTATAAATAAATTACACAATATTATACGTATAGATATAGTTAAGGAGACAAGTTATATATATATATATATATATATATATATAACCTGCTGATAGCTGTCTCATAAAAAATGAGGAATTTGGTTGGTTAAGATTAGAAAATTGTGAGACAGGTAAAAATTATACATGCAACAGCTGTATGACGATTATGTATAAGCTCATATTTGTCCTAATTGGGCTCATGTTATTTATGTCTTTAATTATTTTTACGCTCATAATTTTATATATACACACATACATATATAAAGCTTAGTGTAAGTCTTACTATATCAAGCTACATTGTATATTAAAAATTAAATATTTTAAAATTAATTTAGTTATTTACATTTTATATAACATTAGTGATGCGTTTAATTAATATGAATTCACTCAAGAACTAATATAACTTATATATTGACCAATTATATATTTTTAGAAGAATATTAATAACATGTATGATTAATATAATTCAATAAATTAATATAAACTATAGGATATAATTAATTTGATAATTTATCTCAAGAAGACGATTCCAAAAAATTTTATATGGTTTGGCCGAATCAATTAATATTTTTTAATATTAAAAATTAAAATAATAAATATATAAATAATACATATGTCTTATATATATTATAAAAATAACATATTAAAATATTAAATATACAAGATAATATATGTGTTCTTTAATATTTAAAATTAAAATATCAATAAATACATAATATATTTAAATTTTAAATTTTTTGAGCAAATTATTAGAATTATGTTTAATTAAAATATTTTAAAATTTAATATATATATATATATATATATGTAGGATGAGACGTTTTAGTAACTAACAGAGGAAGCTCCATAGCCAGTAGTTGGTCTCACCCAACAACATTAATTTAAGCTTTGTTTGCGCAAACAAGTTCATTAATATTCTCTTCTGTTAGAATCATTAGGTACAATGCTTTTACAATCAACCAAATTATTCTCAGTCATTGTTTTTTTTATTGTTAGATTAAAATAAGCAAATAAGAAGTTAAATGTTCTATTAAAAATATTTATGTAAAATAATATAATATTTTTATTATAGATTTAATTAGTCGTACTACTAAAATTAATAGTCGTGATAAAATTATTTTGAATTTAAAATAATTTTATTTTTAGGATACTTAAAAAAACTTGAATACCAAAATATTTGAATGATTGGTTATTCAAAATAATTAAGAAATAGAAATAAAATATCAATTGAAATTCAGAGTACAAATAATTTAAAATAAATTATCTAAATTTTTAATTTATAATAACCGTAGTTAAATAAGTAAAGGCCACCAACCATACTTTAGTGAACTAAGGGAGAATGAGTTATTAATTTTATTGTTGACTTTCTCCAAAATTTTTATAATTAAAAATTATTGATATAAAATATTGTTTATATTAATTTTATCAATAAATTTATATAAAAATAAAAGATTTGATGTGATATAATATTGAATGTGTATATTTATAAAAGAATTTTTTTAATTTATCGAACTATCTGCATCATCAAATAACATAATTGATCAAGTATTGTTTAAAATCATATTTTATTTAGAATGTTTATCTCATTTATTCTAAACTCTCATTATTACGTTATATCTTTACTTAAATTTAATTTATATTTAATTTTAGTGGACAAAACATAAGAACGATGAAAATATTTTATAAATTCAAAAATAATTTTTGTAACTCATACTTTTTTTTTTTTTGTACTTAAAAAATAAATCTTTTTAAATAATGCCTTCTTTGAATTCGATACTTGAGTTATTTTTTTTTTTTATAAAAAAATAATAATTAAAGTTCTCAAAAGTTAGAATTCGATGTCATAAACAAATATTGAAAAATTATCACATGAAAGTAAGAAAAGAAGTATAATTATGTAACTAGGGGTATAATACCTATTAGGATATATAGCTTGTCAAGGAAATCTCCTTCAAATCATAAAGGTATATAATACTTTGTTCAAGAGGAAATTACTTTCATGCCCTTCCTTAAAACTCTTGCCTAATCTTTGATACAAAATTACAATTTTACCCTTGTCTTTTTTATTTCTATAAGAAAATTCTCTCCATTTTTTGTTGTTACAAAAATATCCAAATCATGTCTTTTGTTTATCCAAATAAAATTATTTTAATAATTATTTAAAGAGTAATTTGGACAATCCATAATTATTTAATAAATTAATCAATGCAAAAAGCGTCATAGCATTTAAAGTTTTCAATAAATATTAATTATTATATGTTGCTTATCACCATCATAAGGTTTTATAGATCATAATAATTCACGGTAGTGTTAGGATTATGACACTCACAAATACTGATAACAATTAATTTTAAAATCATATTAATATTTTTTATAAAATAATTATTATGTAATTACTATATCTCATATAAAAATAAAATATAAATACAGTGTGAAACATTATCTTATCAATCACTTTATAACATAAATGTTTGACTTAATCTCGTTTATCAAATCAAAAAATATTTATTTTGTAGGCAATCGCACTTTTGTTTAAAGATTTTTATGAAATTAATTATTTTATATGGTAAGCAACATATCTTTTTTGGGTATTCATAAGTATTTGTGAGCTTTTAATCCTACAAAAAACTATTTTTGTTATATGGAGTAATGAAAGCTATAAGTTAGTATTACACATGTGGAATTATCATAATCATAATCGTGGCTCTAAGTCTAATTACTAAATTATGTATCTTTTTTCTCTGTGTAGCATAATAAGTTAAAAAAAATTAAGTAAAACTAACGTTTGAAATAAATAAAAAATATTAGAGACTAGATTATAACACACAAAAAAAAAAATAATAGATACTAAATTGTAATAAATGTTAAAATTGGATAACTAATTTAATTTTACCTTTAAAAATATTTTGAGATGAAATTTTTTTATTATTATCTTAAAAAACATTTAAAAGTTTTCTATTATATACCATAAATCAAACCTTAGCATTGATTTAAATTTTTTAAAAAAATTATTATTATTAATTAATGCAAGAATTATATATGTGTGTGTATAATATATCTTATCATGGAATATAAAAAAATAAAAAAAAATTAATTGATGTTTGTGCTTCTACTAGTAGATACTTTTCAACACATGGAGAAGATTACAAAATGGAGAGAGAGAGAGAGGCGAGAAGGATTGATTATGATATTTACATTTACAGATTATGAAGTAGCCATTGCAAGACTTCAACACAAACTTTTAATTAATTAATTAATTAACTAACTAAAACTCAATCCCTGATTTAACTTTTTCCAGGAAACGCTGTTCTGATTCCTCCCTCTGCAACCTTATCTGCTTGTTAAAATTCTTAATGAACGCTTCAACTCGCTGATTCAACTCATCTTGACTCATCGATTTCTCTCTTCTTAACGACGTCGTATCATTGAACGTCTCCGATTTCCTCAGCTCCCTCTGCGCCCAAGCCACCGCGTCCTTGTCTTCCTCCTCGACGTTACCGGTTGTTCTGAGCACCACGCGTGGCGGCGGCGTCTCCCACGTGTCGCTTTTCTTCAGTGTTCTCTCCTTCTTCTTCTTCCCCTCTGTGATCATCTTCCATGTCTCCTCAAGCGTCTCCATAGTCTCCTCTCCTTTTAAGCTTATTTCCTCCGATACGTCGTCGTGTTTGTCCATTGACAAACTTGGGTTTTCTACTTGTTCTTCCCCATCCTCATCTCTTCCTCCTCCTTTTTCTTCTTCTGTGTTGTTTTCGTTCCAGATGTTTTCTCCAGAGCGACTGCGGTTGAGGTGGGTATGGAAGGAAATTTTGGCTTTACTGCGTTTGGTTTGATTGGGGTGATTATGGTGATGGAGAGAAGAAGAGGCAGCAATAGTGATGATAATGAAATTGAGGATAATGTAAATGTATGGAGGAGAAAGCCAGGCTTTAATGGAGAACCAGAAAGTTGGAACTGCAGAGAGAAAAGAGAAAATGAAATCGACTGCGTATGGGATTACTGCCAATTTGAATAAAATTACAGTCGATACAATCCCAATGCATATGAAACCTAGCTTTGCAGCCCATAAACCGCTCTCAAATCCTTTTGATCTCAAAATTGCTCTCTCCACCAGATCTCCCATGGCCGCACCAATTACTCTGCTAAATAATCTCTTAACAGGTCCTACCCAGTTGATAAAAAAAAAACTAGGATACCTTAAACTGCCATGGATGATCTGAAACAAACTGGGTTAGCCTCTGAATTCAAGATCTCACAGCCCAGAAATAAGAGCATTAATTGTCTGCAACATTAACGGGGCTTTACCCTGATTGTTAAAAGAAAAAGTGAACCAGGAGATCTAAACAGCCATGGAATAGATATATCCAGTGAGTTGATCAAATACAGAGCAGAGACAAACTTAGTTAGCTTCTGTATTAAAGATCTCACAACCAAAAAATAAGATCATTAATGGAGTCTGCAACAAGATCTGCGCTATAGTAGCATGAAGAAGATTCAACGAACATGGAATGCTTACAGTGTTGAGGGGTAACTGAGCTTGTGTATGATGAACAGAGAAAAAGCAATTAACATATAAACACCTGTAAAGGTGTGGAGGGAAAAGAGCAGCCACCCAGTCTGTAGTTTCACGACTGATAATAACACAAGGGTAAGGGCCAAGCTTATATATATATATATATATATGCAATGAACATGAGATATAATGAATGAATATATATATATATATTATGTGCTTGCAACTTCTTCACCTTCCATTAGATCCCAACCGTTGGATCAATTCATTCCCAAACTTATAATGACCTCGTGCCTACCTGGTTAATAATTGTATTGTATTTTATTTTATTTTTGAAAATTTGATATGATTAGGTGTGTGTATATACATGTGTGTGTATATATATATATATATAATAATAATAATAATTTAACCAAACTTAATCAACCATTACCGCCGTTCCCGTCTGCTCCTTTATCTTCGTCTTATATTTTCATACAGAGATAAATACAAGAAGGATCATTTTTAGTTTTAGTGGTTACTTTTTGTGATGGTTATAAAGATCTTTCTGTTGATGCGACAACACTTTAATTGAATTTTGAATTTTGAATTTTGTTTGATAGAAATAGTGCATCTTTCCTTAGGGTGATTAGATATTATTTGTTTTGGACATTTTCAAACAATGTTTTTAAGATATGTTAATAGATATAGTTAGAATAAATTTAGAAATAGTAAAACTTATTTACAAATTTCTAATAAATTTCAAAAGTATTTAAATTAATATTGATTACATCTTCCTATGATATTAATATGTGATATAACGTGATACAAGTAGGATATCAAAATTAACATGAATAAAGTAGTTAAGTAACACATCAAAAATAATTTCGTATCCAGTAATAATAATAATCAGTGTTATTCAACTTAATCTTAAAAATTGAAGTTAAAACTAACTTTAATATATCATAACTCTTGTGCTCTAGTTATAAGTGTATTACAATTCTCATTAATCTTATATTAAAAACGTATTTACGAGTCAAAACTATATGAAAATGGTTGGAAGGAATTCTATACTCTATATCTCTTTATTTTATATTCATTATTCTCTCTAGTAACTCATGCCTCTTCCTTTAAGCTTGTCAATCTTTTCTCTTTGTCCACTTGAGCTCCAAAACTTTTTAAAAAAAAAACAAAACTTGAAGGTCACTATATGCTTGTTTATAGAGACAAGGAGTGTGTTGTCCAACTTGCTCGCTCATATGTTTACCACAATTTATTTTTGGGCATAGAGATAGCGTGTAGTGTGGGGCTATCTTCCCTACGAGATAGAGCATTAGCGGCAGAATTGTCTTTTTCTGGTTTGTACACGATCTCATATTCGTAGCCAAATAACTTAGAGAACCACTTTCACTCTTCTGGGATTGTAATTCGTTAGTCCAACAAATACTTCAAACTTTTCTAATCCGTGTGCACATAGAAATTTCTGCCCTTCAAATACGGATTCCATAATTTTATGGCAATAACAATGGCAAACATCTCTTTGGCGTATGTCGACAATGACTGTTTGGTAACGCTTAACGCTCGACTCACGTAAGCTATAGGCTGCCCATGCTGGGTGAGGACAGGCCCAATGTCACAGCCAAAAGCCTCAGTTTCTATGATAAATGGCTCTTTAAAATTTACGAGTGCCAAGGTAGGAGTTATGGTCATAGCAATCTTGAGGTTTTGGAAAGCTAATTCTGCTTCCTCGGACCACCCAAATTGCTCATTTTTTAGGAGATTAATCAAGGGCCGAGCAAGAATTCCATACTGCTTAACAAACTTCTGGTAATAGCCTGTCAAACCCAAAAATTTTCTCAACTTAGTGATGTTGTTTGGTTGAGGC